ATTGATTTATGTGAATAATGTTGGCTTAAAACATGTTCATACGTTCTATTTACTTTAAAGCAATTTATTTATCATGGACGGTTTTACCGCCTACTGCTTTAAGTTTTGATTTATGTGAATGGTGCTAAATTAAAGCTTTTGTCACAAGCTTCATTTACTTAAATGCAATTTATTTACTATAGCTGGAATTACCGCCTATTGCTTTAATTTATTTATTGTACTTCTTTTGTTACGATGAGTATAAATAGAACTCGAAGTTCCTTGATCAAATCAGAACCTGCAGTTTCTTGAACCTCATCATATAAAATGATTGGACCCGAAGTTCCATTATACAAAAAGATCGGACATGAAGCCCCTTGATCCTCAAGATCAAGACATAAAGTTCCTTAATGAGTACAGTAAGTTTAAAGTGTCGCAGTGTCTCAACTTAATTGCAACAAAAGCCATAAGAGCCTCAGTCTACAGACTATTAAATAAGGACCAGAAGTTCCTTACATCCATACTCAAAATGGTTTAGCAGCAGTATTTATTAAGCGGATGAAATTGATTACCCGCGCTCTACTAATGAAAATGAAATTGCCAAGTTTCTACATGAGGACATGTCATTTTACATGATGCAATATTAATTCGGTTGAGACGTGTTGCCAACCATCAATATTTTTCAATACAACTCGTGTTTGGGCACTAACCAAACATTACACATCTACGAGTTTTTGGTTGTATTATCTTTGTGCCTATTGCACTGCCACAACGTACTGAAATGAGGCATGATCACCAATTGGGCATTGACGTTGAACACCATCTATCATTCAATATTTGGAACCCTTGACTGAGGATATGTTTACTGCATGGTTTGTGGATTGTCATTTTGATAAGACAATTTTCCCGCCGTTAGGGGGAGAAAATAACTTCGTTTCAGAAGAACGATGAGAAAATATCATTCCAAAAGAATGATGAGAAAAGACCGTTCCAAACGAACAAAAAGAATTTGTCTTATTTTGATTCATGAAGTAATCAATATAAAAGCGAAGTCAGAATAATTGAATGATGCAACGATATGCAAATCAAATGCCAGATGCATTTAATGATGCAACGAAAGTGATGAAATCACATATAGTTGCTGCATATGTGCCTACAATAATTAATGTCCATATTGGACAATATAGTGAGGCAGCAAATGATTTATCTGTTGCACGCCTGAAGCGTGGCATACCTTCAGACTCAAAAGGTTTAGTCATTTGAAAGAAGAAGAATATAACACTACTGAACTATTGCATTCCCAAAGCATAACTGCAACATACTGGAAGCATGACAATCGCTGCATAGGTATACGTCCCGAAAGGACAATCCACGGACATGGGAATGTTGATGTCTCATGCATGAAGCATGATAGACATATAGGTTCCAATGACTCAACTCCCTATGTGGAGATTAAAATCCAAGTTCTATAATTCTCAAGAAGAGGTTATGATCCGCATTCTCTAAACTATGATCATCCTGTAAGAGATAGTGTAATGCTCTTGAAGAGGCAATGGATATCCAAATAAATGAAAAGCTTTTATGCATGCACACGCACATGAGAATATGGGATCACAGATTGATGATAATCAATGGTAATTTTGGTTTTTTACAAGTAGCTACTAAATTCATCAATGAGGTGTGTTGATATTGAGTCCCGTTCTTTTTCCGTTAACAAAATTATTGGCCAAAAATGAAAAAAGGCAATTCCATTACAATTTTGTAAGAACGTGGAAAAATGGACCTATATACTTGAATACAATACAAATAGCCAAAGGATGTTAAACCAAAGAGGTTATATTCGGCATTTGTAATACAGTGAAATACACTCACATGATATGACACAATATTACTAATTGAAACCTGAAATTATACTCTTGTAAACGATTTCATATGAATGGAGAATTATATACGAAGAGTTGTGAGTTGCCTACATTATATCTCCATAAGTAAATCCCTCAAGTATATATGGGAGCAAATTGCTCTGTACAAATTCCAAGGATAAATATGTCATGAAGTGTAGAAAATCTATGAAGGATTCAAATTACTTAAAGTAAGCCCCAGAAGAGTAAAGCATAAAATATGTACTCAATACCAATGGATGGTATAAATTTCCTTAGTGAGTACTATCATTATGATATTATTGCAACATACTAAAATCTCTTGCAAGAGTTGATATTAAATTAGGACTCTTGAAGAGTCTAGAAAGATTATAAAGTGTTGAGAGAAATATTATCTCGAACTGCAGGTCGAACAATATACTAACACGAATCTTATCCATGATGTTTATGATATTAAAGAATCATATGGATTGAAGATTATGAGTTGAATACTCAAAGGATGTCGACAATAAGAATGATCATTTATCTTCGTAAGGGTAAAGATAAATTGATATTTGGTCCAGAAGTACCACATCTTAGTGAAGTATAAGTTTTATTATATTTGGCACAATACATTGAATGAAATAAAGCTTATCTATTAATATCTCCAAAAAATTACATACACATGAGTTAAAACAAAGAAACAGGAGGGAACCTTCACAAAGATTGCTCATGTGAAGCCTCAGTATTCAGCAGTACCCCATAAGGGGTAGGCACTGGAGATTGATCATGTGGCACCCCAGTACTTAGCAAAACATTAGAAGGGGAAGGCATCAGTTGCCTTTGGAATCTAGCCACGAATCTTTGATGATCATTTTGAATCCAACTTTCAGATTCTTAAAGCTGGTCAAGCTTTCTTTTCATGCTTGTCAAGTAATTATTTGCAAGCACGTGTAACACTCTATTCTCGTGCTTGAGACCTCTGATCTCTTGTTTAAGCTTGCCACCTCAGCCATCAATGATTCAACTTGATGAGTTCGAGCAAGTAGGCGTTGGTCCATGTTGGATACAGAGCCTACACATTGAACACTAAGAGCCAATGAGTCTTGAACGGCTAACTCATTAGACCGTTTTGAAATGATTTTAAGAAGATTCCTAACTACCACAGTAACGGTTATATTATTCTTCATCACAGAGTCCCCAACCGTAAGAAGACCATTAGAAGATAAGAAGGACGGACGCCATATATTATTCTGACGCTACTCGTCTGTATCACTCCTAAGACGCAAATCTAAGCAAATGTTAGATGAGCAAGCCATTTTCAGAAATAATGAAGGAAAAATGAGGTCAAATAAAATCTCAGAAGTGCAAGAAAAGGAAAATTTCTACAGGCAACATCTTTTTGAGCATACTCTTGAACACAATTGATATCTCTATAAAAGAAGAGACAACAGAGCCATTTGTTCAAAGATCGAAGAGACACCGCTCTCTGAGTTTTAAAAGCCAGATTTTCCTGAATAAAGTTCGTTGGCATTTTTCAGACGCAATCTCAACTTTTTCAAATATCGCGTGCAACTTTGTCAAAGATCTCTGACAAAATTGAAAACGCGTAAATCTTACTGTTCTAATTATACCACAGTTGCTGACAAAAGTAAAGGCACAACATCACTACTTGCTATTGAAAAATCTCTGTATGTGTCGACCTTCGTTCTCCATAACAAGGCAGACTTGCAAGAATACCTAACTCTTCCTCATCTCCGAGAATGCATCTTCAACAAAGCATCTCGAAATACCCAGTTTTCTTCCTCTCTGAGAATACCTCTTCAAAACTAGTCACACCAGAGCAAGATTATCTTATATCATCAAGGACGAGAGCAAGAATATCTCATATCATGCAATATCCCTGTACTTTCCTTTGTTCTTGTTCTTACCTGCAAAGACATGAATAAAAAAAGCAATATGTTGGAACCTCCACTCAAACTTTTGGTAAGGAACCGACTGCTTGGAACCTTTCCTGATTGCTTACCTAGAATTGCTCTTGAGTACTCATCTTCAACTGTTGATGGAGCTAGGTCTCCAGTCATCAACACCGCAGAATAATTAGCCTGTCATTGATTTTTTACATTGAAGCTACCACGCATGGTGAGTCACCAAGAAGTGAAGGATCATTCAAATGCAAGGTTTGCATTCCATTCCTACATCAGAAGACAAATACTACAAGAGAAGATGCCAAACCTGCATAGGGAAAATACCACTTCTGCAAAGGGAATAGATAAGGCAAGTGAAAATGATACATTGAAACATGTGGAGACAATCACAAAAAAACACGTGCCAGTTCATCCCCGACAAAGCCTAAGATCACTTGTCACATGAAGCTCCTCATGGTACAATTTCATTCAAGATCAAGTCTGGATGACCCTTGAAGAAATCACAAGACCGATTCAAGATCAAGTGTCCACTACCCTTGAATCAAATTCAACTCCAGATAAAAGTAGTAAATTCAAACCTTTAGAGGAAGTCTAGCAGAAGGTCCTCCAACCCAGTTCAAGAACAAGCCTATGAAAAGTTAACAACAAGTAAAGCACCTCTTTCCGCAACTCTTCTCGCTAAGAAACTGAAGTAAAATGATCAACTATCAGCCTAAATGATTTGAAATCAGGGGGAGACACTCATCAGAGGGAGCATATAAAACAGATCTAAGATTTTAACAAGTCAATCGAAGACTTGTGGCTATTCAAGGGGGAGTTGTGAATAATGTGGATGGCCCACATGAATAGTTTGTTACTATTTATGCACAGTATTTTCACTATTCATTTGTGGAAAATTTGTAAAGTGAATAGTGTTATCTTTGCTTATAAAATGAAGAGAGATGAAGAAGAGGTTCACGGAAGAGATTGTGAAAGAAGGAAGAGGAAGAGAGAAAAGAGAGGAAGAGGAGAAGGGATCATAGAGAAAGTTATTTTGTACTCTTATTATTCTAAATTATAATGAAAGCACCATTGTTGCTCCGAGGACGTACTCCAGTCACACTGACTGTAGAGGAACCTTGTAAATTTTGTGTCTTGTTTTATTTATTCCACTGCATACACCATCGATTTTACAACATATATATATATATATATATATATATATATATTATTCTCTCACAGATACTGTAGCAACATAAGCAATTTATGAATCCAACCCACTTATTAGGTAGATTCTTGCCTGAAAACAGTCTAGAGTTTGGCAAGAGAACATTATACTATACATATACATATACACACTCTTATCGGAAAGGGAAAAACACACCCCCGCATAGGCACGTACTGTTATGTAGGCAAGTACAGTATACCTGAAACGAACTCGCTTGAGATCCTTGGCACCTCCTGGTAGGGAAGTAAGTGTGATGCATACACCAGGCTCATCTTGCTCAGCCCATTCAGTTTCATGATGAGATTCGTTTTCTTTAATTTTGTTCCCATTTCTGGTTGCTACATCTAGATGTCCTTGTTTGTTGTGACTTGAACTGCGGTTACGAGTGGTGTTGGACCCATTGGAAAGCAATTGGCTGTTTGATCCATAAATGTCATCGCCCACATGAAGTCTTCAATCATGTGCTGACCATATGGTCTATATCACAGTGCGCAACAGAAACGTCATGAATTCTAACTTATGTTTAAAATCAGGACTTAGTAAACAGAACAAAATTTTGTTCATTTTAATTCAGCAAAGTAGCTTGCTAAGACTTCCGACGATGTATCAAGCTCCGAGCAACTAAGAAAAGACCAAAACAAGCAGCACTGCCACCATTGTTTCTCCATTGTGCCTCCATCCACCTTACACAAGTAAGTATACGCCTAATCCTACATTGTACAAATTAAGATGCAGGAATTATACTCTATACCCTAGATCATACAATTAAATAAAAACTGGAGAAAGGTGACCACGAAAGTAACCATAAACCCTAGATCATCACTAATCAAGAGGCAAAACCCCTTACCAAATCAGCTAACCCTTGGACTGAGCACTTTGTGCTCATTTTTTGGGTTATCGGGCTGCACGTTTGAAGGAGTTTTATGCTTACCTCAAAAAGGAAAGTAGAATATTGCGGAAGCATAAAATTTGTGTTTGGTGCTTCTTCCAAATTACATTCTTGTATAAGGGTCTTCTTGCAGCCTAATGTACTCAACTTTTTGAAGATGTTTAGCTTGAACAGTGTAGAAATCTAATGTCATTACGGAAACACAAAGAGCACAAAACCAAGATATGCAATTGAGCAAAACAGAACATAAGCAGAAAGAGTGAAACACACATGGATTATATTATGACCCGAACATTTGCATCAAAGCACTTTATTGTTCAAATAACATATTGTATTGTTCAAAGTTGATAACAATTAGTCATGTTTCTATGACATAATCATTTGATATGTGCAACCATACCTACAAAGAATTTATCATAACAAAAACTTGCGTGACATACCTGCCCGATTTAAGCTTTGTGGTAAACGAACAACATTTTTAACCCTCGAGGACTTCATATTCATCTAAAGTGTCCAGTGTTTTAGGCTTCCCAGAAGATGTCTAAGGGAGTGAATTTCTTTTGTCCATTCCATCCAGTCCTCGCATGATTCCAACTTCTTCAAGTACACGACAAGATTTGTTATACATTCCTCTTATCATTTCTGCACGAAGGTGCAAAATATATTTGAAAATCGTTGGCCACTCATCTTAAACCCCTACCACATTCCTTTCCAGCAGTGTCATTATCAATAGTTTCACGTCCACCTTTGAGTTAGACCGAAGTACCAAATCTGACAATAAATCAGAAGCAAAGTTCCATACTACATCTCCTTGCATCTGAAGGAACACGAAGTTCCATGAATCCGATACCAGGGATTCTTAACATATGCCTTAAGTTCTCCAGCAAGAATATACAGATTGCTTTCTCTATAGTATATCATATATCTGCTGCTCTATTTGGAAACAACTCATCTCTCTCCATGTGACTGGCAAGACTTGCGAGACATTCATATACCATTTCTGATTGTGAATGGGACTTGTCTTCAACAAAGAAAGGCTGGATCCTCTTGTTAATCTCAATCCAGCTACAGCCCGGATTTTTCCTTAATCCTAATTCTTTCATCTTTAATCTCACCTTCCGCACTTCATCCCATTTCTTTACAGAAGCATAAATATTTGATAACATAATAAAAGTTGAAGGATCATCGGGATTCTTCTCCATTAACAACCCTGCGATTTTCACACCCAAATCTATGTCCTTGTGCAAACGACAAGCGGAAAATAGTGTGCTTAACAAGTCAATGTCCTCCCTAATTTCTGGAGTTCTTTGCAAAAGTTGATATGCTTCATTCAACCTTCCAGCACGTCCAAGAAGATCCATCAAACAAGAGTAATGTTCCACTCTAGGTTTAATTCCATAATTGGTGATCATCTGACTGAAATAGTGACAACCTTCGTCAACTAGCCCCACGTGGCTACAAGCTGATAGAACCGCAAGAAGAGTAACTCCATCAGGCTTTGCATAGGACTGCTGCATTTCACCAAAAAGCTTTAAAGCTTCTAAAGCTTGACCATGAGCTCCGTATGCAGTGATCATGGAGGTCCATGACACAAGGTCTCTATCTGGTAATCTATTAAAAACATTAAGAGCTTCATCCACCACACCGCATTTAGCATACATATCAAGGAGAGCCCCCATCACTATTTCGTTGGTTTCCAACTCACTATCAATGAGAGTTCTGTGAATCTCCTTACCCTTTTCCAGTGCTGCAAGTTGCGAACAAGCCGATAAGATACTAGTTACTGTGATGGCATTTGGCCTTACACCAGCTACTTTCATTTCATCATACGTGGCCAGAGCCCCAAAATAATCACCCACTTTCACATATCCAGAAATCATAACATTCCAAGAAGCTGTGTTTGTCTTCGGCATCTTTTCAAAGACATTTTTAGCTGATGAGACACTTCCACACATGAAGTAGAGATCTAGGAGCGAGCTGTAAATGTAGATATCAGCCTCAATATTGTTTCTTATAATAAACGCATGTATGAATTTTCCGTGCTGTAGTTGGGCTGACCTTGAACAGGCCAACAGTATGCTACTAAAAGTAGTTAACGTGGGACTCGTTCCTTCATCATTCATCCTTCTAAAAAGTTGGATACAGGATCTACTGTCACCTGATACACTGTATGCTGTGATCATAGAATTCCAAGAAATTACATTCTTTATTGGGATTTGCTCAAAAACCTGTTTTGCCATATCTAAACATCCGCATTTTCCATACATATCCACAAGAGCAGAACAAACAAAGGAATCCAAAACCAAGCGACTTTTTATCAACTCCTTGTGAATATCCACACCTCTCTCTAAATCTGAAAGTCTTGCACACGATGAAATAACAGTCGTAAGTGTTACTGAATTGGGCATAAATCCAGAATTCCTCATCTTTTCATACAAGTCTATTGCCTTACGAGCTTGCCCATCTTGATAATAACAAGAAATTACAGTATTCCAACATGCCACATCTCTCTCGGGCATTTCATCAAACAGCCGTATAGCAAACTCAAAAATGTTGCATTTAGCATACATGCACACAAGAGAGCTGGCAACAACAATATCTGATACGAAACCGATCTTTATCAAATGGTTATGGATCATTTTTCCCATACTAACTTCACCCAATGCACCACATGCCTTAAGGACACTTGGATAAGTGTAACTATCAGGACAAAGATAAGGGTAGCGCAGCAAACTGCCAAAGAGGTCAAGAGCTTCGTTGAACATGAAGTTCTTGGTATAAGCTGTCATGAGGCCATTCCACAGGGAAATACCGGTTGGGTTTTCAATGGATTGGAAAACAAGCTTAGCAGAGTCATAAAAATGGCAAGAGAAGTAAAAGTCTATCAGGTTTTTGCAAAGAGCAAGGTCATTCTGTAAGCCTAGAGTGAGAATCTTTTGGTGGACGAGCTTGCCTTGCTTCAGCGACTTGGAACTAATACACGTTCTTAAGAGACATAACAGTTTTGTGGTGTCCATTCAAGGTGTAGTAGAGAAAAAGTGATGAGTGTAGAAGAATATTGTTTTGACCGAAAACTCAAAAGTTGAAGTTCAACCCAAGATGCTCCTTAAACCTTACATTAAACCATTGAGCCTCATATGTACCAAACTCTGCACCTGAACATAGAAATATGATTAAATAAAACAGTGCAAATCACCCAATCAAACTTTTAAATCATGAACCCGAAACATAGTTATACAAAAACATAAGTCAACCCATTTTTCTCGACATAGCGCACAAATAGTATTCAGTTTATTAATTCCACCCTGGTTTCCATTTAATCAAGGACGAAATGCTCCATGAGTTCTGCTAGAGGCAAAATAATATAAATATGAAAAACGATCTTGCAAGATTAATAATCCAGAAAACTCTCAAGGTAAAACAGTACCGCAAACGACACTTGTTTAATGATAAAGCAAAATGATAGTCATTGTACAATGTCTAGTTGAAGGAAATGTATATTTCACTGACTTGAAAGACTCCAATCACATATTTTTCTCTTTGATTTCAAAGTTATCCCGCACCCCAAACAATACCTGACTTTTGTCCCTCGCTATGTACTGTCTTTTCACACAATTTCAGGGTTAGCTGTGTAACTACTGTCTGGAAAAGAGTTGGCCAAGAGGTCCCTCAACTCAACTGGACGGTAAGAAAGGTGTATACTATTAGCAATAGATAACAAAACAGGCTTGGAGAGTAACATGAGAGAACGAGAAAGACATTCTTTCGGTAACAAGTGAAGGATTCATGAGAGATTTGTTAAAAATCAAAAAGGGAATAGGTAATCAGCTTTTGACAATTTCAGGCCAGCTAAAGTTTGCTACTATTAACAAGTCGGTGTTTCCTATTCCTTTTTTCTTTTGTTTTTTTTTTTTTTTCTCTCTCTCTCTCTCTATGCATATTTTGTGTTTCACATGGCAAAGGATAAGGAGGTGTAAAGAATCTTGAGCCTAAAATTCTTTCTGATCCCCGTTGAGGGACAATAACTTGTCCCGAAAATTATCTTCTAATTCAAAGCACAAGCTCAACATAAAACACAAACAAAGTCCTTCAACTTCTACATATGCACCAGGACAAAACGGAAACTTGGCAACATAAATTGAGCTATAGTTTCTTTCTACACAAAGAATGTGCACATAATTCAAGTCAACCTATTTACTGAAAACCCCAAAAAAGTTATAGAAAGAAACCCCAATTTACCACTATTCTAAAAATCTCCACCTAGCACCGCCTAGACCCCTTCTAAGTGCTAGGCAGCTGACCAGCACTTCAATTAATTCCTAGGCGATTAAAAATTAAGAAAGGGCACCTAGACTTGCTTAGACATCCGCTTAGACCGCTTAGGCGCCCGCCTAAGTCGAGACTCTTACTTAGGCAGAAAATGGATAACTTTATTTTTCATTTTATTGTATTCAATAAGTTATAAGAGAATTGTTGATTACTTAAATGAACACACATTATATGTTTGTTCCCCATGTTTTCATTCTGTTCTAATACTTTATAATCTATATGTCATTATATTTTGCAATTTATGTATCTCAATGCAATTATGTATTTTTTAAGTTTAAGTAGACACTTATTTACACCAATATATAACAAAGGGTAAATTAAATTTTCATACATCATGTTTGAGGTCTATTTCAATTCCTTACAACATCTTCAAAACATTTCACTTTCATACCTTAAGTACTATTTTATTAAAATATTACCTCCGTTACATTTTTCATCCATTGATCCGTTAAGTGCTGACTTGACTACCACATATATGCCACATGGCTTCTAAATGTCTGCCACGTGGCAAAAAAAAATAATTTTTAAAATTTTTTTTTTTTTTTTAAACCTGAATTTTCTCAACACACGCCCAAAAAAAAAAAAAATTGAAACCATCCCATCTCCCCACAAACACCCCCCACATACCTAAACCTGCAACAACAACAACAAGAAGCAGGAGGAAGAGAAGGAAAAAAAAATGCCCAAACCAAGTTTGTCCCTCCACACCCAAAAACCCGCAACCTAGAAGAAGAGGAAGAGTGCAACTGCAGCTCCCATTCTCCCACCCCAACCACCAACTAGTCCTTGTCATTTGAGTAATATTTTATTCTTTACAACATCTTCAAAACATTTCACTTTCATACCTTAAGTAATATTTTATTAAAATATTACTTCCGTTACATTTTTCATCCATTGATCCGTTAAGTGCTGACTTGACTACCACATTACCAAGAATTTCCAAATCACACAAAAAAAAAAAATTGATCACCCATTCCCACAAACACCCCCACCTAAACTGCAACACAACAGAGAAGCAGGAGGCGAAAGAAAAAAAAATGCCCAAACCAAGTTTGTCCCTCCACACCCAAAAACCCGCAACCTAGAAGAAGAGGAAGAGTGCAACTGCAGCTCCCATTCTCCCACCCCAACCACCAACTAGTCCCTGTCATTTGAGTCAAAGTCCAAGTCCTCCTTTGTCCACCCAAGAAACCCCCACCCTTCATCTCTGTCCGAACGCCACCCAAAACCACCAAAGACAAAGAAGGGGGAGTGAGACACAGAAAGGAGAGTGAGAAATGGATTTCAATTTCAACTCCAACAAAACAGAGGCGGCTGGTTCGCGGTCACACGAGGAAGGGAGGTAGGCAACTGGTTTGCACGCCGGGGGGGGGGGAAAGGCAGCTGGGTCGAGCGCCGGCGGCTTCTTCTTCTTTGACTAGGTTTGGGCTGCTTTTTCTTTTTTTTTTTTTTTTTTTTTCCCTTCCTTCTTCTTTTTCTTTTTCTTCTTGTTGTTGGAGGTTTAGAGGTGTGGGTGGTGGTTGCGGGGAGACGGGATGGATTTCCTTTTTTTTGTGTGTGTTGAGAAAATTCAGGTTTTTTAAAAAAGAAAATTATGGCAGCCACATCAGCACTTAATCCATCAATAGATGAAAAATGTAACAGGAGTATTATTTTGAAATAAAATAATACTTAAATAATGAAAATGAAATGTTTTGAATATGTTATAAGGAATTAAAATCGACCGCAAACCTGATTAATGAAAATATAATTTACCCTATAATAAATTAACTTAATCTGCCTAGTCCGCGTAGCTGCTGCCTAACGTCTTTGCAACCTCGCAATTTACAAGCTGCAACAAAAATTAGAATACCCAAAACAAAATCCATTTTACTTCCGCATATGCCCGTCAAAACAAACCGAATAACAAGCATTTAAAAGATGGAAGAGTAATCGAAGAGATGAAATAAGAACATCAAAGGATGATTCCACAACAAAGCCAAGATACGGTAGGGAAGAAAGCGAAAAGTAGAGCAAAAACAAGGGTCTTGAAGCAAATATGAAAAGTGGGTTTTGGAGAAATACCGACGGCACCGCCGACAGCTCCGCCAATTACAGCGCCGGTGGCAACGCGAGTCAAGCAGCTGTTTTCCTTAGCCATCTGTAAATCCCTGTGTCAATCGTTGTGCAGATTCTGCGCGATGATGGATGAATGAAAATTGATATGCAGAGAAGGAAGTGGGTAGGGTATTGATTTGGTGAGGAAATAATTAGGGGAAGAGGAGTGGGGCACAAGTTGCTTGAGGCAGAAGCAGAGAGCAGGGTTTTGGGCTTTTGGCGTCCGTCCGTCCGTCCGCCATTATGTTCTTTTCTTTCTGATTCTCTAAAACTTAAAGCACCCCAACCCTATTTTTATTTATTTCAGAGTACAAATAATTTTAATAAAATTAAAAAAATAATTCCGTTGCCGGGAATCGAACCCGGGTCTCCTGGGTGAAAGCCAGATATCCTAACCGCTGGACGACAACGGACTACTAATCAATATAGTAAACTTTTATTTTATATTAGAATGAAATCTTAACTTTCAAAGACTAGAAAAGGATAAGATGGGCCTTGTACCTCTACCAACTAAACGTGATGACACTATTACAAAAACACATCTTCCCATGTATAGAACACGAACCCACCAATGCTTAGCATTACGATCTAGTGGATTTTATATATATATATATATAGAATGTTTGTTTACCTTAGCTCAAATCTCCCACTCTATAATGTAAATATATACTTGCATACTTTCGTTCATAGTAAGTAAACATGCCATTAATATTAGTATCTTTAATTTTTATCAACGTCTTTTATGTACAATTGAAGTTTATAGAAATTCAATAAAATAAAATGAATTTTCTTTAATAAATTATTTTTAAAATTAAACCCTATTTTTGAACTAATTAACGTGAAACTTGCCCGTTAAACTCTCTTCTTCCTATTCAACGCCACAAGAAAGCTTCCCCTTCCCCAAACAAGTACAAAAGGTCATATAATACCTATTGCCATTGGACCAAAGAATAAAAATCATTGCCCTCGTAACCACGTAACCTATAGACAATTATGAGATTGGAATTCAAATCTACTAAGTAAGACTTTATTTTTATAAATGTTCTAAAATACGTTAGGCGCAGCAGCTAGACAGATTTGTAAAGTCTATACTTTAGGTTTGGTTTTCCTTGTCAATATTGTAAGTATACCACATGTTCAATCTAGCTTTAGGCTTTTCTTTATACATGGGTTGTGTTTGCTATGAAGAAATGTACAAGGATGGGACACACCTCACTTCAAAAGTTTTGTTCATGCATGTGCATTTCACGTCTACATTCCTACTTCATTCTGGCTAGCTTAGTTGTAGAGTTAGGCTTGCGTGCAAATTTCTAGCAAGCTGGGCACACAAATTAAAGACGTCCTAATTTCAAATTTGTGTGCTGATAGTCAAATCTAATTTGAAATTAAGACGTCCTAATTTCAAATTTGATGAGAGTCTCACATGGGCTTCCTGACAGTTTTCTGCTGATAGTCAGATCTCAGCCCTTAATCTTTTCTAATCAGTTTGTAGGACGACATGTTTAAATTAACGAGACCTTTCTCTTATGTTCATTCCTAAAACGTTCCTAGCCATAGGATTGCCAATTGGGCATTGACAATCCGCTAAGGTTAGTATGTGTTATGTCGACTCAAGCGTGAGTATGAACTAGTCTCAAGTCATTCGACACTAAGGCAAACACATAGGTGCTCGAAAGAGTAATCGAGTACACTGAACAACGATCAAACGAGAGTTCGAACATACATGTCATGTGAGAACTCAATAGTTGCAATATGCAAAGTAGTCCTTTGACCTGAGGCATCATTGATGTCTAATGGTTAGGTCCTTGATCTTTGATTATGTCAACAGCATTCCATTGGAGTGTCCACGGCATTGTTGGGGTCAAGCTATCTAGTCATGTAGGCATATGAATGCACAACAAGGGATCTCTAACCTTCCATGATGGAAGGAGAATACTCTAAGATATCATTCGAGAGTCTTTGGCCAAAGCATATGAATATGACTAAGGAAGATGTTCCAAATCTTATTCAATTGAATCATATAGAGAAGTATCACATTGGATAGTAGACATGAAACAAACTATCACTTAAACAATGTGATTAAGAGTATTGTATTAGAGAAGGACCGTATTGCATTGTAGTTGTAACTGGATAGGTTCTCCAACCACTTCTACTTAGCTTGGGTAACCATGACATGCTGCTAGGCGTCACCCATGGTTTGTGGAAGCCCTAAAGATTAGCAAACACTAATTTAAGGGAGAATTGAAATGTGGTTTCAATTCACAATCGATCGTTAAGAGTAACATCGCCCACTACCTCGCTAATTGGAACCTAATGGATCGTACACCGAGTAAAGATATAAGTGAAGAAATTATATGAAATGGATAAGCAATTAAATGGTTTAATTGAAGAATGGTCAAGATTAATTAAATAGTTAATTAATTATACGAAACGTTCGTATTGGGCGTTTAAGTTAGTTTTGGGCTTCGGGGCACAAAAACGTTTTGGTCCACAAGGCCCATTATGTTTAAGTTGTATGACAACTAAAACAAAATGGGCAATTAAGCCCAATAACAACTAATGGCCGGCCATAAGGGTGGAGGGTAGTGAACTTGGCTTAATTGCAAGTTTGCCACTCCATTGTGAGGTGGTATAAAGACATCTTTATAGCCATTTCATCCTTAGGGTTTTCTAAGAGAATTTGGGTGAAATATTTTCTCTAAATTTCAACATAGAGGCCGGCCACCTTAGGGTTAGGAACATCTAGCAATCTTTCTTCCCTAAGTCATCCATTTCATCTTCACACAACATCTTTGGTGTGGAGACTTAGAGACACCAAACTTTTGGTGTTTTGGAGAACAAATCCTCAAATCCTCAAAGAAGAAAAAGGAGCACTAAAAGGGAGAAAATCACAAGGAAGATCCAAGGAGCAAGGAGGTAACTTGAAGGCCCTCCACTTGGGTGAATCCCTTGTGCAATCAAGGATGAGCTTCAAGGGTAAAGAATCTCTAAATTCTTATTCTCTTTAATTTTGTTAAAGAGTCTTATGGTTCACCATATACTAGGCTTTGAAAGTCATGGGTTTTATGAATTGTTTTTGAATGCATGCCTACTTTAAAGTGTTATTAGTTTGCATATGTATTCAAATGTTCTTACATGTTCTTAGCTAGGACAAAATTTTTCCTTCACTTTGTAGGTGAAAAACAAACCAAAGCTTTTGGGGTTAAGATCCCCAGCCAAGGTTCTTTGTTTTTGGGGGTTTTCAGATCATATTTCTAATGAGAAGTTAGAGTGAGAAAGGCCTTAAGACCTTACTTTCCTCTTTGTTCTTCATTTATGAAACCCTAGTTGCAAAACCTTCTTTCATGCATTAAACACCCAATCATTGAAGAATGGGGTTGCATTGTCTTTGGTTTTGCATTAAATTAGCGGTCAAAACAGATCTTTAAAACTGACCGATTGTAGGACTCTCGTCAGTTTCTTCCTTTTCAACTATTGGACTGGAGAAACTAACTAAACATCTAAATCCATATCTGCATATCATTGTCATATCATATATGCATAGTTCGTGAGCTAGTCTCAGTGCCACAAGATTAAGAGCTCAGGACGAGCTGTCACTTCGTGAAGACCGAAGGAATCTATCTTGTGTGAGGCAAGATTGCACAAAGGTAAAGCTGCTCCATAGATAAGGTTCTAGGATTGAGCTTTACGGGGTACTTTGTAAGAACCTTGATTATACTAGTGGATTGGATGCAGCGGAAAGTCTTCGGTTTTTTAACCCAGAGGTGGGTTTTTCCAACCAAAAACATCTTGTGTTCATAGTTACTTATATTGTGTCACATACCTCACATACATATACATGCTACATGTATCACTTGAATATTTAATAAGTATGTGCTCACAATCATGCTCACCTGACATGCTAATAACTTAGAACAAACTGAGAGCTCGCTGACTAGGATAACTATTGATAATTGAGATTGGCCATTTAATCTTTGGTTTATTAACTAACATATCTGTCTTAGTCAACTAGCCGGCTTGACTAGTCAGTCCAGCATATTATTATTTTTATATACCGGATATTCTGCCTGGTACCAATTTCAAGATTTAAGTAAATTTATTATATATTATGTAAATAAGTGTCTATTTATACTTAAAAAACACATAATTGTATTGCGATACATCTATTGCAAAATTAAATGACATATAAATTATAAAGTAATAGAACTTATTGAAAACATGAGGAAGAAACATATAATAAGTGTTCATCCAAGTATTTAACAAGTCTCTTACATTTTATTGACAAAATAAAATGCAAAATGGAAGTTATTGATTTTTTATTTAAGTAAGAGTCGTGACCTAGGCGGCTAGGCGGGTTTAGGCGGGCAAAGTGGGCACCTAAGCGAGCAAGGCAGACGTCTAAGCAAGTCTAGGTGCACTTTCTTAATTTTCAAACTCCTAAGGACTAATCCGGGAGGTGACCAACCGCCTAGCACCCAGGCCAAGAGGGGATTTTTAGAATAGTAATTTTTATCAATAAGGTAATATACAAGGCACCACTGGTGTAGGTGACAGAAGGTGACTTTCGGCCAAGCTGAAATGCGATGGTCAAGTGAATTTCATCGATAGTGGTTGACAGGCAAAGTTTGGTGATCGGTAACCCATGTCCACGACATGGGCCGAAAGGAAAACTTGAAACAAACTATCATGTCCATAAATGTCATCGCCCACATGAAGTCTTCAATTGTGTCTTAACCATATGGTCCATATCACGATGTGCAGCAGAAACGTCATGAATTCTAACTTTATGTTTAAAACCAGGACTGAGTAAACAAACAAAATTTTGTTATTTTAAGTCAACAAAGTAGCTTGAAGGCTTCCGACGATGTATCAAACTTCAAGCAACTAAGAAAAGACCAAAACAAGCTGCACTACCACCATTGTTTCTCCATTGTGCCTCCATCCACCTTCCGCCACAAGTAAGTATACGCCTAATCCTACATTGTACAAATTAAGATGCACGAATTATACTCTATACCCTAGATCGTACAATTAAATAAAAAAATGGAGAAAATGCTAATTAGGTGACAACGAAAGTAACCATAAACCCTAGATCATCACTAATCGAGAGGCAAAACCCTTTACCAAATCAACTAACCCTTGGACTGAGCACTTTGTGATCTTTCAAAGGAGTTTTATGCTTCCCTCAAAAAGGAAAGTAGAATATTGCAGAAGCACAAAATTTGTGCTTGGTGCTTCTTCTAAATTACAGTCTTGTACAAGGGTCTTCCTGCAACCAAATGTGCTCAACTTTTTGAAAATGTTTAGTTTGATCAGTGTAGAAATCTAATATGTTATTGCAGAAACAAAAAGAGCCTAAAACCAAGATGTGTAATTCAGCAAAACAGAACGTACGAGGAAACAGTGAAATGCACATGGTTTATATTATGATCGGAACATTTGCATCAAAGCACTTTATTGTTCAAATAACGTACTGTATTGTTCAAAGTTTCTCTGACAAAATCATTTGATATGTGCAGCCCTACCTACAAAGAGTATAACATGACAAAAACTTGCATGGCATACCTGCCCAAATTAAGGTTTACGGTAAACAAACAACATTTTATCCCTCGAGGGCTTTATATTCATCTAAAGTGTCCAGTGTTTTAGGCACTACAGTGCTGCAAGTTGCGAACAAGCCGATAAGATACTACTTACTGTGATGGCATTTGGCATTACACCAGCTTCTTTCATGTCAGCCGACATAGCCAGAGCTACAAAATAGTCACCCACTTTCACATATCCAGAAATCATAACATTCCAAGAAACTGCGTTTGTCTTGGGCATTTTCAAAGACATTTTTAGCTGATTAGACACCTGCACATATGAAGTAGAGGTCTAGGAGCGAGATGTAAATGTAGATATCTGCCTCTATATTGTTTCTTATAAAAAACGCATGTATGAATTTTCCATGTTGTAGTTGGACTGACCTTGAACAGCCTAACAAGATCTACTGTCACCTGATACACTATATGATGTGATCATAGAATTCCAAGAAATTACATTCTTTATTGGGATTTGCTCAAAAACCTGTTTTGCCATATCTAAACATCTGCATTTTCCATACGTATCCAAAAAGGCAAAACAAACAAAGGAATCCGTAACTAATCGAATTTTTATCAACTCCTTGTGAATCTTCATACCTCTCCCTAAATCTGAAAGTCTTGCACACAATGAAATAATAGTTGTAAGCGTTACTGAATTAGGCATAAATCCAGTGTTCCTCATCTTTTCATACAAGTCTATTGCCTTGTGAGCTTGGCCATCTTGAAAATAAGAAGAAATTACAGTATTCCAACATGCCACGTCTCTCTCGGGCATTTCATTAAACGGCATGTTGCATTTAGCATACATGCACACAAGAGAGCTGGCAACAACAATATCTGATACAAAACGGATCTTTATCAAATGGTTATGGATCATTTTTCCCAAAGCAACTTCACCTAATGCACCACAGGCCTTAAGGACACTTGGATAAATGTAACAATCGGGACAAAGATAAGGGTAGCGCAGCAAACTTCCACAAAGGTCAAGAGCTTCATTGAATTTAAAGTTCTTAGTATAAGCTATCATGAGGCCATTCCATTGGGAAATACTGGATCGCTCTCCACTGGATTGGAAAACAAGCTTTGCAGAGTCATAAAAACAACAAGAAAAGTAAAAGTCTATCAAGTTTTTGGTGGACGAGCTTGCCATGCTTCAACGACTTGGAACTAATACATCTTCTTAAGAGACATAATAGTTTTGTGGTGTCCATTCAAGGTGTAGTAGATAAAAGGTGATGAGAGTGTAGAAGAATATTGTTTTGACTGAAACCTCAAAAGTTAAAGTTCAGCCCAAGATGCTCCTTAAACCTTACAGCATTAAACCATTAAGCCTCATATGTACCAAACTCTGCACCTGAACATAGAAATGTGATTAAATAAAATAGTGCAAATCACCTCAATCAAACTTTTAAATCATGAACCCGAAACATAGAATACAAAAACATCAGTCAACCCATTTTTCTCGACTTAGCTTACAAATAGTATTCAGTTTATTAATTCCACCCTGGTCTCACAAGGATGAAAATGCTCTATGAATTCTGCTAGAGGCAAAATAATAGAAATATGAAAAACGATCTTCCAAGATTAGTAATCCAGAAAACTCTCAAGGTAAAACTGTCGCTCAAATGACGCTTGTTTAAAGATAAAGGAAAATGATAGTCATTGTGCAATGTCTAGTTGAAGAAATGCATATTTTTTTGTTTTCTTTCAGTTTGATCCAACTACTTCTAGGTTTGAACTTGACACAAATGTTAAACATTATATAACATTTCGATACCACATATAAATTGAATTCCACTCCAGGTTCGAATACAAAAAAGTTGTTATCATCGAATTAAAAAGCTGATAAGACTTGAATGGGTTATAGAAAGTGCTTATGCAAGATTCTTTCATCTGCATATTCAGCAAAATGACAGCTAAACTTGACAAATTAAATTGTTCTACAATAATCTCATATTCTTGAACCACAAACCAAAATGGGATCAAAGTTAGACCATAAATGATGAGGTTAGTAACCCTCTATTAACTCTCATCCTTTTTTGTGGTTCCTAAGGCAGTGTGCAGGATTCATCAAAGATTTGTGAAAACATAAAAAACAAATTCATTCAACAAGAGCCTACCATCTAAATATCCATCAGGACGACACGGAAACTGAAGAAAATAGATTTAGATATACTTCCTTCCTACAAAACAAGAATGTGAGCATGTTTCAACCCCACTCACTGAAAACCCAAGAAAAGTGACAGAAACAACCCCAATTTACAAGTGACAACAAAAAATAAGAATACCTACAAAGCATGCTCATCTGAAGAAACCAAACAACAAGCATTTACAATGTCCAAAATTCGCCTAAAAACAAAATTTCAAAACCCCAAATGAAAAAATATTGTACAGAAAAGAACAAATGAATGATTCCACAAACTCAAGATATTCAATAGAGAAAAACAATATACAGAAGATATAAGTAAGGGTTTGGGAGATGATTTGTGAAGGGTGTTTTAGAGGAATACCGACGGCACCACCTTCAGCGGCGACGGTGGACACGCGTGTGAAGCAGCTAGTTTCCTCATCCATCTCCCTTCGTCAGTGTTCAATGTTAGAAGATTGATCCAACAAACATAAGGGCTTGACATTTAAATTAAAATTTTAAAAATAAAAATTGAAATTTAAAAAAGTTCCATTACCGGGAATCAAACCCAGGTCTTCTAGGGTGAAAGTCAGATATCCTAACCGTTGGATGACAATGGATTATTGATTCTATGTCTAAACATTTTCATTACTAATAGTTAGTCGTTTGAATGGGAAGACGTGATAGACGATACAATTAAGAGCACATATTATCTGGTTGATTAACAGTGTTACGTATTATATTCATAGATTAACGACTCCACCAGTTAGCCTTGTTGGGCAACTTTTCTTAGGTTATACAGATCTTAATCTGGTGTTTGGGCCATGCTGCTTCTTAGAGCATCCAATGGTGGCTCTAAGACCTGGTTTGGTAGATGATTCTGAAAAAAAATGGTATAAAAAAAAGCTGAGACCAAGAAGCTGCAAAATCCAGCTTTGAAAAACCGACTTTTTTTCACATCTATTTTACATAAAAGTTTACCAAACACTATAATACTGCTTTTTTTTTTTTTTTTCAAAAGCACTTTTACAAAAAAGTTTACCAAACACTCTACTGCTTTATTTCACAACTGCTTATTCTCACAGCACAGCAGAAGTAGGTTTTTTTCAAAGCACAACAATATTAAATCAGCCCTAAATAGAGTCCCTAAATATAGGGACCTAAGACTTCTAATGGACTGGAATTGAAGCTCTTAAAGTATCCCAATATATAGGGACTCGCTGTATATCTCAAATAAATCCTCAAATGTGAGGACTGTGTATGGAGACTCAAAGAGTGGGACCATGTTGATTTTGAGTGGGAATGTTGTGCGCAACAACTACTTTTTTTTATTTGTTTTCCTTATCGACCACCCACATGGGGGCATCTTCTCATTTGGTTCTCCTGTACCTTTTTTTTTATCTCTTTAAAAATCAATGGTAGAGATAGCTTTTGGTTTTTAGCATTCATCACAATACTCCAACGAAATAAACAATGATTTTTAATATTTTAGTCTCTATATTTAGCAATTATACTATAAAGACTTTTTGATCCGGACAATATTCTTTAGGGACTCGAATATTGCTTTAAAGCCCCTAAACGAGTCCTTAAAGTTGGTGGTGGGATCCTCAAAGTAGGAGCATTTCATTTAATGATGCAAGGACATGTATGAACAACATTGAGATACGAATTGAACTTGGGCTTCTATTAGTGTTGTAGTACTCTTTACCAACTGTAGCAGCCACCATTGAAACTTTGGTAGGATGGACCCTTACTATTTCAAAATATCAGATTGTTTCTATCATTCCATATTTGCCAGCAAAGGAGGAGAACCCTACTAAAATCAAACAACTCCACCTCATCGCTACCATTCAACTCTGAGTTAATCAATTTATTAAATGCATCCTAACATTAACAGGAGAAGGGCCACTGGATATTCTCCAAACTTCTTGAGCAAAGTTGCATCTTATGAAAATATGTTGTTGATCTTCTTCACCAATATTACAAAAAGGACAAACAAGACTAGTATTAGGGAAAGATCTGTGAAATCTCAATCGTGTGTGGAGCCTAAAGCGGCCGGGAATGAGTACTATCCCTTACAGGAATCGAATCTATGTCTGCATACCTATAGAAAACGAGAAGTCAAAAATACCTAAACCTCGGGCACGACAGGCTATTAGGTTAGTGGTAGAGTGCATCGTTGATAATTTCGTCGTTGTGTCTGGGCTGTGAAGGCTCCCACAAAAAAGAAGCCAACAAAACCATTTTATCTTTTGTGGAGTTAAAGTTTCCACATTTTATTCAATAACACAACATATGGGTGTACACTTTGTTGCTCAACTTGCAACCAAGTTGCTGACTTTACAGTGAATTCGCCATTAGCAAAAGGACAAATCAATAAGGTCTTGTTCCAACTATTATCATTAAAATCACACTCATAAATTCCAATAAGCATTCCCTCTTTGGGATTCAGGTAAGAGATGGAAAAAAAAGGAAAGGAAAACCCCAATTATGGGTCAAGACCTAAATGTCCTTGTCATTTCCCACAATCTATCTCAAACCTATTAAAAGAATATCCCTAGAATTTAGGACATCCCTCTAAGCCAGGGAATGATGTTGTTTTACTTTAGTACTTAACAAACTCCCATTCGTAAATATCTTTGCTTAACAATTGTCACATAGGTGGGTACCCTACCAATTGCCTTTATCAGGAATAACCTTCCAAGCAAGTTTCGTCAAAGGAAGCATTATTAAAATGGTCAGCCCTTCTTATACCAAGGCCTCCAATAAACTTAGGAGTACAATCATCCTTCCAGGCAACGGAAGCCAATTTAGTTTATTTTCCTCAATGAAAAGTTCTACACTCTTTGTTAAAACATAAGTTATTTTGTTAGGACATTTAAAACAAGCCATGACCTAATTAGGCATGCCAAATAAGTTAGATTTAATTAAAGTTAGGGTACCCACCTATGGGACCATGATTTTTCAAGGTTGGAGTAAGGCTTATCCGAATACAATTATCTTAAAAGTCCAGTCATGGATTCACTAACTCCAAGTGGAGCTAGAGTAGACAGAGCAACAGTGCCACCATCACCCTATTCCAAGGCAATACATGAAGTTTGAGCAACTATGCTAGATGATCATGCTTGTCCAGTAAGATACGCGATCTAGTCCGAATATGGACTCAATCAGATCCTTATAAATCTTAGAGTTCCTACAATCTAGGAATTGGCGCCGCAAGTAATCACAACTCTTAAAAATGTGTGATATCTACTTAGATATCCTCTAGGATCCTCCCGTCTTAGAACGAGGATTCTATCCTAAAAAGGTCTCTTTCTCCACTGGTATAAATACACACATGTCGTGTTCATCTTTGGCAAAGCAATTTCCATACTTGAATTCTCTTGTCCACTGCTTGAGTATAAAACTGCTTACTAACTTGACAGCAGTTAGCGCATTTTTTGGTTTCCCTTTTCCAATGACCTAAAAAATCATTTCCCAAGCATAAACTTACGAAACATGACAAATGCAACAGCTTTCTATTCTCAAACTCTCTTTCCCACATACTAAATACATCAACACGTGTCCTTAAGGATACCATGAATACAAGGCCCATCTATCCAAGCACTGTATACTTGAGTGTCCTCAAGATTCATTAAACCTAATTATTTTAAGCGCGACAAGTTAGCCACTCAATACTACGGTCTGGTGGTATTCCTCTTCACTTGTAAGTGAGAGGTCTTGGGTTTGAGTCTCGTGAATGGTGAATTCAATACCAAATTAGGTTGCCCATTGTGTAGTTTAGCCAAACTCCCCCTCCCCTTCAGCTAAAATTATTCTTTTTTTTTTTTTGGTTGAAAATAAAACTTCATTAATGTTCAGGAATATTACAAACCTTCAAAAACAAAGAAGACATAAAACAAAATAAAGAGGCCCAAGTAATAGGAAAGCAACAATCCAAAGCACAAAGAGAGCCCCATATTAACATAGGCCTAGAGAAAGTAAAGATAACAAAGAAAACCCTAAAAACCAAAGCGAGCAGC